AAGTCAGCGAATCTGACTACTCGATCCCGTAAGTAGCCTCTTGCGACCAGCATGGGTTACTGAAGATCAATTCTAACCTGGATCTTCACGAGTTCGGCAATATTACGAGGGATAGTGCAATAATTGTACGGATTAGGCAATACGTATGACAATATGGTTAAGATATGTACGGATATGGTAATATTTATACGGGTAAGATAATATGTGTACGTGTGGGGCAATATGAATAGTAGCATGACATTGGCATTGTGTATGCGTGAGGCAATTGGTATACGACAATATACGATGGGTAACGCAATGTTTTAGCCGGCCGGAAAGGCAAGGCGCGCGGTGAATGCAATGTTATAACGAGGAGTGAGTGAATGTGTGAGTGAGTATATTTTTACGCCGCAACATCACGGCAGGCTTTAAAACGAGGAAGCTATGCGTGTAGAAGTAATCCAATATGTGTAAAATTAAGACAATATGTGTGGAAGCTATGACAATATGTGTGGGAGTAAGTCTGCAACATGTGTAAAATTAAGACAATATGTGTGGGAGTAAGTCTGCATGTGGAGTGTAAGGTTACATGTGTAAAATTAAGACAATATGTGTGGGAGTAAGTCTGCATGTGGAGTGTAAGGTTACATGTGTAAAATTAAGACAATATATGTGGGAGTAAGTCTGCATGTTGAGTGTAAGGTTACATGTGTAAAATTAAGACAATATGTGTGGGAGTAAGTCTGCATGTGGACGGTAAGGTTACATGTGTAAAATTAAGACAATATGTGTGGGAGTAAGTCTGTATGTGGACGGCAAGGTTACATGTGTAAAATTAAGACAATATGTGTGGGAGTAAGTCTGTATGTGGACGGTAAGGTTACATGTGTAAAATTAAGACAATATGTGTGGGAGTAAGTCTGCATGTGGACGGTAAGGCTACATGTGTAAAATTAAGACAATATGTGTGGGAGTAACTCTGCATGTTGAGTGTAAGGTTACATGTGTAAAATTAAGACAATATGTGTGGGAGTAAGTCTACATGTGGAGTGTAAGGTTACATGTGTAAAATTAAGACAATATATGTGGGAATAAGTCTGCATGTTGAGTGTAAGGTTACATGTGTAAAATTAAGACAATATATGTGGGAGTAAGTCTGTATGTGGACGGCAAGGTTACATGTGTAAAATTAAGACAATATGTGGGGAGTAAGTCTGCATGTGGGCCCGGTAAGGCTACATGTGTAAAAATTAAAGACAATATGTGTGGGAGTAACTCTGCATGTTGAGTGTAAGGTTACATGTGTAAAATTAAGACAATATGTGTGGGAGTAAGTCTGTATGTGGAGTGTAAGGTTACATGTGTAAAATTAAGACAATATGTGTGGGAGTAAGTCTGTATGTGGACGGTAAGGTTACATGTGTAAAATTAAGACAATATGTGTGGGAGTAAGTCTGTATGTGGACGGTAAGGTTACATGTGTAAAATTAAGACAATATGTGTGGGAGTAAGTCTGTATGTGGACGGTAAGGTTACATGTGTAAAATTAAGACAATATGTGTGTGGGAGTAAGTCTGTATGTGGACGGTAAGGCTACATGTGTAAAATTAAGACAATATGTGTGGGAGTAAGTCTGTATGTGGACGGTAAGGCTACATGTGTAAAATTAAGACAATATGTGTGGGAGTAAGTCTGTATGTGGACGGTAAGGCTACATGTGTAAAATTAAGACAATATGTGTGGGAGTAAGTCTGTATGTGGACGGTAAGGTTACATGTGTAAAATTAAGACAATATGTGTGGGAGTAAGTCTGTATGTGGACGGTAAGGTTACATGTGTAAAATTAAGACAATATGTGTGGGAGTAAGTCTGCATGTGGACGGTAAGGCTACATGTGTACAATTAAGACAATATGTGTGGGAGTAAGTCTGCATGTGGAGTGTAAGGTTACATGTGTAAAATTAAGACAATATGTGTGGGAGTAAGTCTACATGTGGAGTGTAAGGTTACATGTGTAAAATTAAGACAATATATGTGGGAGTAAGTCTGCATGTTGAGTGTAAGGTTAAATGTGTAAAATTAAGACAATATATGTGGGAGTAAGTCTGTATGTGGACGGCAAGGTTACATGTGTAAAATTAAGACAATATGTGTGGGAGTAAGTCTGTATGTGGACGGCAAGGTTACATGTGTAAAATTAAGACAATATGTGTGGGAGTAAGTCTGTATGTGGACGGTAAGGTTACATGTGTAAAATTAAGACAATATGTGTGGGAGTAAGTCTGCATGTGGACGGTAAGGCTACATGTGTAAAATTAAGACAATATGTGTGGGAGTAACTCTGCATGTTGAGTGTAGGGTTACATGTGTAAAATTAAGACAATATGTGTGGGAGTAAGTCTGTATGTGGAGTGTAAGGTTACATGTGTAAAATTAAGACAATATATGTGGGAGTAAGTCTGTATGTGGACGGCAAGGTTACATGTGTAAAATTAAGACAATATGTGTGGGAGTAAGTCTGTATGTGGACGGTAAGGTTACATGTGTAAAATTAAGACAATATGTGTGGGAGTAAGTCTGTATGTGGACGGTAAGGTTACTTGTGTAAAATTAAGACAATATGTGTGGGAGTAAGTCTGTATGTGGACGGTAAGGCTACATGTGTAAAATTAAGACAATATGTGTGGGAGTAAGTCTGTATGTGGACGGTAAGGCTACATGTGTAAAATTAAGACAATATGTGTGGAAGTAAGTCTGCATGTGGAGTGTAAGGTTACATGTGTAAAATTAAGACAATATGTGTGGGAGTAAGTCTGCATGTGGAGTGTAAGGCTACATGTGTAAAATTAAGACAATATGTGTGGGAGTAAGTCTGCATGTGGACGGTAAGGCTACATGTGTAAAATTAAGACAATATGTGTGGGAGTAAGTCTGCATGTGGACGGTAAGGCTACATGTGTAAAATTAAGACAATATGTGTGGGAGTAAGTCTGCATGTGGACGGTAAGGCTACATGTGTAAAATTAAGACAATATGTGTGGGAGTAAGTCTGTATGTGGACGGTAAGGTTACATGTGTAAAATTAAGACAATATGTGTGGGAGTAAGTCTGTATGTGGACGGTAAGGCTACATGTGTAAAATTAAGACAATATGTGTGGGAGTAAGTCTGCATGTTGAGTGTAAGGTTACATGTGTAAAAGTAAAGACAATATGTGTGGGAGTAAGTCTGCATGCGGAGTGTAAGGCTACATGTGTAAAATTAAGACAATATGTGTGGGAGTAAGTCTGTATGTGGACGGTAAGGCTACATGTGTAAAATTAAGACAATATGTGTGGAAGTAAGTCTGCATGTGGAGTGTAAGGTTACATGTGTAAAATTAAGACAATATGTGTGGGAGTAAGTCTGCATGTGGAGTGTAAGGCTACATGTGTAAAATTAAGACAATATGTGTGGGAGTAAGTCTGCATGTGGACGGTAAGGCTACATGTGTAAAATTAAGACAATATGTGTGGGAGTAAGTCTGCATGTGGACAGTAAGGCTACATGTGTAAAAATTAAGACAATATGTGTGGGAGTAAGTCTGCATGTGGACAGTAAGGCTACATGTGTAAGAATAAGACAATATGTGTGGGAGTAAGTCTGTATGTGGACAGTAAGGTTACATGTGTAAAATTAAAGACAATATGTGTGGGAGTAAGTCTGTATGTGGACGGTAAGGCTACATGTGTAAAATTAAGACAATATGTGTGGGAGTAAGTCTGCATGTTGAGTGTAAGGTTACTTGTGTAAAATTAAGACAATATGTGTGGGAGTAAGTCTGCATGCGGAGTGTAAGGCTACATGTGTAAAATTAAGACAATATGTGTGGGAGTAAGTCTGTATGTGGACGGTAAGGCTACATGTGTAAAATTAAGACAATATGTGTGGGAGTAAGTCTGCATGTTGAGTGTAAGTTTACATGTGTAAAATTAAGACGATATGTGTGGGAGTAAGTCTGCATGTGGAGTGTAAGGCTACATGTGTAAAATTAAGACAATATGTGTGGGAGTAAGTCTGTATGTGGACGGTAAGGTTACATGTGTAAAATTAAGACAATATGTGTGGGAGTAAGTCTGTATGTGGACGGTAAGGCTACATGTGTAAAATTAAGACAATATGTGTGGGAGTAAGTCTGTATGTGGACGGTAAGGCTACATGAGTAAAATTAAGACAGTATGTGTGGGAGTAAGTCTGTATGTGGACGGTAAGGCTACATGTGTAAAATTAAGAAGGAATGGGAATATGTACCATAGATCTTTCTTAAAACTTAATAGATGCCATGAATGTTGATTTATATACTCATGCCAATAATGGTTGTCACCCCCTTCAATTTGTTTAATTGGAGAAGGGGTGTGGGGTGGGGGTGTGAGGTGTGTGTGGGGTTGGGGTGGGGAGGGGAGTGACAACCATTATTGGCATGAGTATATGAAGTCGATCAAACAAGGTATGTGCTATCAAAAGTTGAATAGTATATTTACAGCGAAGCCACTACGGGTAAGAGGTAGGAGTGTACTCCGTTGCCAATGTACCCATATATGTACGTGTTAGGCAACAGATCACACGTAATCAGGTCAATCTGTGAGTGAGTCAGACCCAGTGTCATTCAGTGTTATGGAGTACACTGTGTGGGTGAACAAACACGCCGATGACGAAGCAAATATGTGACTTTTATCACCTCAAAGGTTTAATTTCATAACAAAATGCTTAATAGTGCACCCGCAACAGAAACTCATTCACGTCCTTATCAGCGTATTAACCTATTTAAAGCTGAGCTGTCACAATTCACACTTAATATACAGTGATACTTATGACGCATGAGCTTGCTAGCGGTTTCGGTCCATAGTCCGATACAACGACCAGGTAGCTGTCATTTTGAAAACAAATTAACCTGAACTAACTGATACTAGGAACAAAATGGAAAGTGTACAAACGCCTGTACATAATGGAAAGTGTTTTCTTACGCCTTTACTTTGTAACTACTTACCTGAGGATGTCAGCAACTTTGCGAAACTTCGGATGAAAATAACCATCGACATGAGGCTTCAGTTTCGGTGCAAACAGTCTAGGCAGATACGTGAACGCCAGGGTGAAGAGAAGGAGGGTTACTCCCCAGCGTACCAGTCCCATTGTCAAAAAACTGTGCGATATGTGAATATGATGGGGTCTTAGCGTAATGGTTGATAGCACACTGCACACTCTCCCTCCACCCGACAGCCCACCAGGTAATACCAATAAAGACAGCGAAACCGGTTCAGGTATGCAGTTGGCCACCTTCGGCATTTTTTGTGCGGTATGCAGTGAGATATCTTTTGATATAAGATAAATACGCATTGAGAGGTTCAACAGGCAACGCTATAATCACACTGAAGTACGCGATCGTGTAATATACATGACTCAGTGGCATTAGTATGTGTGTGTGTGTGTGTGTGTGTGTATGTGTGTGTGTGTATGTATGTATGTATGTATGTATGTATGTATGTATGTATGTATGTATGTATGTATGTATGTATGTATGTATGTATGTGTATGTATGTATGTATGTATGTATGTATGTATGTATGTTTGTTTGTATGTTGTTTTTGTTTTTTTGTACGTGTATGTATGTATGTATGTATGTATGTATGTATGTATGTATGTATGTATGTATGTATGTATGTATGTATGTATGTATGTATGTATGTATGTATGTATGTATGTATGTATGTATGTGTGTGCGTATGTATGTATGTATGTTTGTTTGTTTCTTGGTGTGTGTGTGTGCATGAATGCATGTGTTACACACACACATATATATATATACACACCCTATACATATACATATACCTATACATATACATGCATTGTGTGTGCGTGTGTCTTTGTGAGACAGAGCTGAGCGTCCTATTATTATCCCGACTGAGGCAAGTTATACATGTTTGTATATTATATTTTGTTTCGTTTAAGGCTGCACACATCAATACTCCCGCTCTTTATCAAAGGAATAGCCGAGCCACCTGTAAACATTGACCTATTCTTTGTTTAAAATTAATGTATGTGTTGAGCCTATTACACACTCAAATGCGTTTATTCCGCTTTCAACAAAATCAACTTCTGACATGAAAACAATTTCCATCTCTTTTCGCTTCTTTATTATATATAGATCTGCGCCAAATATATCTTTACAGTATGTGACCTACTTTTAAAGTAAATATGTTACTTGTTGCATGCAATTCCCTTTTGCCGGTCCATGTATTCTTATACAATAATTGCATGTACTATAATACTGCACAATATTACTGTTGCAGGCATTCCCACATAACTGATCCACTACTCATATGAACGCTGCATGTACTTCCTTATAACAGATGAATGCACTCCCATGATACTGTCGCATGCATTCCCACATATATAATGCACGTACACTCATATAGACGCTGCATGCACTACCTTATAACAGATGCATGTCCTCCCACACTACTGCTGCATGCATTCTCAAATAACCGATCCACGTACACTCATATAACATGCCATATGGCTGGAATATTGCTGAGTGCGGCGTAAAACTAAACTCATATAACAGATGTGTGCACTCCAATGCAACTGTTGCATCCCCTTAACAAGAAAGTAGTTTGGTAGATCAATCACCAACTTCATCGATTCCATTAACAGGTCATACTGGTGTGAATTAAAATTAAATTTAACAACATGCTTGTTGTGTGACGAATGAAATGACAAACAGGCGTGAATGCCGTACCGTCTATTTATATCATATGCACGCCTTCACGTACACGTCTCATTGGCCGTCATCAAACACTGCTCCAGCTCACGGGAGATTAATATCGTGCAGCACGTGCACCACGCGAGCAATTGGAAGATTGAAATACACACCTTCCAGTGTCGACGATCACGCAGATAAGCTGGGTCACCGTGACAGCTGTGATATGGCGAGAGTGATTGCGGCGAGTTGTCACGGTCATCTCTGTCGCAGTGGACGTTTCCCCACAGATAACACACAGCAGCACGCAGGTATGTCCACTCACAGGTACGTGCTTATCATTACGTATGTCAGTTACAGTAGTGCATCGCGAGTTATAGTCTGTTTGCAGTGAAAACGTACCGATGAATTTCACTTTCAACAAAAAAGTAAATCAAATTTAGTGAAATTAAGATTGCGAATCCTCAGAATTTTACCTTGCCAAATGAACATTTAAATATCAAAATTTTATTCAACTTAGGATAAAAGTTGTTTAACAAACGATCATGGATTCAAATCGCTATTATTGGTTTGTATTACAAGGGGGTAAGCGCAGTAGATGGAACAGTGAAACAAAGGCACGTGCGGTACGTGATGAACGTTAACTTAAACCAGCTTGTTCTCTGTGTTTCATCTAATGTGCATACCCCCCTGTAATACAAACCAATAATAGCGATTTGAAATTAACCGTTTGTTAAACAAATTTTACCCTAAGTTGAATAAAATTCTGAGATTTGAATTAGAAGATAAAGCTACTCTGTTTTCAATTTTGCGGTCCTTTATCGTTGATTTAAGACCGCTAAATGTAATTTCAAAACCGAACGCGTTAGCGTGAGGTTTAAATTAAACATTTAGCTTTATCTTCGTTCTAGCACGACTGATAAGCGTTTTAAAACCGAACTGTTTGGCGCGCAAGAACACAAGGCGCAAAGTGACCTTTTTCCTGGAAATCGCTTGGAATCGTCCCGTTGAGGGACAGGTGTAATGAACAAAAAAAGAAATTTTCAACAACATAAATGCTATATTTCAGGAACCAGTATGCTTGTATTTGTAACAAGTAGCATACATAAATAAAACAAAATACAGTCTATACCGTAAGCAAGTACAATTATTTGATATTTCTCAAGCGAATTATTGATCTCCCCTACTGTATGACAATCGACTCGCCCAAATGCAAGCCGTGAACTCGCTAAGTTTAGTCGCCGCTAACTTTATTCACGGAAATAATTGTTGATAACCACCCTACTATTCCCAATTTGGAAACGATCTGACATGCCACGTTTTATGTGGGATACATGGACAGTAAAAGTGGAAGGACTGGGCATTACGGCCGGGACGGAAGCGGCCAGGTTAGGACGTGTGGGCCGACGTGTGTTGTCGACGTTAACACACGTAGATCTGGACCCGCTTTGAATATACTGCCGCTTTTGCGCCGCTGACGGATTTTCCAGCTTCGTAGTTTCTTCACTGGGATTAGGGTCAAGAAATTCTTCTTCAGACCATTCGCTTTTTACTTAAAAAAAGTAGGCCTTCACTTTCCCCGTGATAAAACAACTGTGACAGCCAGTATACATTAACACAAATTAAACTGTTATCATGTCTTGTTTTGGTGTGTTACCTGTATAGGAGTTCATTTCTGTGTCCCCCGCCGTAATATTGCTATAATATTGCTAAAGCGGCGTAAAACCATATTCACTCACTCATTCACGTACTGACTGTAGAAGGGTTACGCCCCTTAGATCGATATAGCGTGTTTGCTTGACACTTAGGTTTACACACATACTCACAAAACGCACCACAAACGCATATGCATGTCCCGCCTACACACGCACACGCACACGCACGCACTCAATAATGCTAACAAATACAGCGGTAATCAACAGCCACATCTATCTAAGGACCATAATTTCAGTTAAGATGTGTATCGTTTGCATCCAGGTACCAGAGCTTCCCAGGTAACTCTCACGTGAAGATGGGACAGAGGAAGAAGGTGATGCTGTGGACACTGGCTGTGGTGACCTGGTTCTTCCTCCACACCATTCTTCTTCTCGTCGTGCTGACCGGTATGTACAGACCCTTGGAAGAAGAGGGTGGGGCTGAGAAGAGGGTGGTGACGGAATCAGCGAACTCCAGAAACCCATTACCAGATCCGATACCCCAACCAGCGCTTTCGTCTCACACACGGCATGAACGGATGAAAATGGACTTTAAAAGGTTGATTTTGCTTATTTCATTTGTTCATTTGCTTCGTTTTGCATTTATCATTGTGGGTTCAATCTCGACATTTGTCACATATTGAAACACCAATACTCTCGCGATATGTACTTTTGTCATTGAGTAAGGCTGATGTACGAGATGGCTAACTGTCCAGTTATATTTCGATACTAATTTCAAAAACGCTTAGACACGGAGGTAAAATGCTTTGCGTTAATTATAATTTGTAACATAAAATACATAGGACATCTCGACATCTCGATTCGACTATTTACGGGTTAGCTGACTTTGCGGGACTTTCAGGTCCGCAATAATATTCACAAGTTATTGTGGGTAATGAATTTGGTCTTCTATAATGAATTAGCCTGTGTATGTTTTGGCATCGACGTAGTTGAAATCAGCAAAGCACGTTTTAAGAAACACGAATTGAAGGCAGAATAAAAGTGGGCGAACTTGTTTTTGTGTGTGCGGGTGTCATTCTTGGTTGTGTTACATTTCAGGAAAGGTAACAAGCTTCTCTTCAAACCGACATCGAAAAGACAGACAGGGACTTTTGAGAAATTTGTCATCGACCCAGAGAAGATGACTCGCCTTGACGTCACCATACAAAATATTATGAGCTTCCACTCGCGTCCAGGAGATGACTATTACGGTTTCAACGTCACCCGCAGCGAGGAAGTTCCCTTCGACAGGGACATCCCCGACAGAAGATCACAGCAGTGTAAGGACGCCACATTCAACTACTCAGCTCTACCGACAGTTTCCGTGGTAACGCCAGTCCACAACGAGGCTCTGTCTACTCTCGTGCGCCACGTGTTTGCGATACTGTTGCGCACTCCTAATCAGCTGCTGAAAGACATTATTCTGGTGGACGATAACAGTACGTTTTCTTATTTAGGCAAAGATTTGGACGATTATTTTCGGATTCTTGACCCTCGAATTAAAATATTGCGGAACAATGGTCGCGAGGGTCTTGTAATGTCAAGGTTACATGGCGCTGATGTTGCCAGGGGAGACGTGGTTGTTTTCCTTGACGCCCATATGGAAGTGTGCACTGGTTGGGCGGAGCCTCTTCTTGACAGAATCAACAGCCAATCAGCTATCGTTGTACAACCGGATGTGCCCGGAATCGACGGTGACACCTTTGATATCGAGACTGGTCATACTGTTGCCTTTAGAGGAGGATTTGGTTGGGACATGAGGTAAGAAAGATATTTAAAGTCTGTTGCTAAATAAGAGAGCGTGATCATGATAGTATAATTAATATGTATATCATAGTGTATCATGCCATAATGTATTGCATAAAGCCGTTTAAGTAACAGATACTTGTACAGAGGGCACGGGTTGTCCAGTGGTCAAAGGAATTTGTCTGGCAGAGTTGTGTCTCTTGGACAGGGAGGTGGGGTAGCCTAGTGGTTAAAGCGTTCGCTTGTCACGCCGAAGACCCGGGTTCGATTCCCCACATGGGTACAATGTGTGAAGCCCATTTCTGGTGTCCCTCGCATTGATATTGCTGGAATATTGCTAAAAGCAGCGTAAAACTAAACTCACTCACTCACTGTCTTGGAAACATGATTCTGTGTTCGAATCTAGTCATGTCATTATATCCCAATTTCGTCGATCGATGCTCATGCAGTTGATCATTGGATCGTCTGGTCCAGACTCGATTATTTACAGACCGCCGCCCTATAGCTGGAATACTGCTGAGTGTGGCCTTAAAAAACCAAATAACCAATCCATTCAAACACTAATTGGACAAATTCACTCTTCGTCATTGCTTTGCGAATGTAACGCGATATGCGTGTGTTTTTTTCTACATGTAATACATAAGACATTACTGGAATATTGCTGGGTAAAACTAAACTCACTCACTCACTCACTCGAATCCAGTCTGTCACCGTTCGTTTCTAGCACCGTTACTGTGCTCAGGGTTGTCACTGAAGTTTAAGACTTGCATTACCTCGGGCTTTCCTCTCATTTTTAGCTGACACGCAGTGATATAACTGGAGCAGATTCAAAACGTTAAACCCAACTCCTTCACGATACATGTTCATTTTGCTAAAAATGATATGATGATTCAATTAACAATAAATATTATGTTCTCTTAATTGAATATCGGGTGTGTTGCGAGAATGTTGCTTATGAAGACGTGAAACCATATACTTTACTAACATTCACTAACTCACATGGCACAGATCCTTATGTCAGGTTCCCAGCACCATGAATGATCGAGTGAGTGAGTTATATTTTAAATTCACAACCTAGTGTATCAGCCATAGAGTGACAAGAGCAAAAAAATAAGCAACCATTTATACTGTATAATGTCTGTACACAAAGGACAATAATACATACAGAGCATCACAGATCTGTATTAAAGCCATGTTTTCTTGATTACGGAAAGGGGCGGTTAGGTAGCCTAATGATAAAAGCGTCCGCTCGTCACGCCGAAGACCCGGGTTCGATTCCCTACATGGGTACAATGTGTGAAGCACATTTCTGGTGTCCCCCGACGTGATATTGCTGGAATATTGCTAATAACGGCGTGAAACCACACACTCACTCACTCACTGATTACGGGAAGGGTTTATTTTACTTTTTGGTTCGATACTAACGGGATCCGGACTTTCAGGGATCCCTTGCGCTTGATTTTAACACAATGCTATCTTCCTCATGCAGGTATGCCTGGATGTTTATACCGCCATATGTTTATCAGATGCAGACCTCACGACTTGACCCAATTCCAACGCCTGTTCTAGTTGGCTGCGCCATAGCTATAAACAGAAAATATTTCAACTCAATAGGTGGGTTTGATCCAGGACTCCAAATATGGGGCGGGGAGCATTTTGATTTGTCCTTCAAGGTATGGACAAGTGGAGGCAGAGTGGAAACGATACCGTGCTCGAAAGTAGGTCACGTTTTCAAAAGCAATAAATACAGCTATGGTCCCAAGGGTAAAGGGTACATCCTGGCCAGGAATCTGCTCCGAGTTGCCGAGATCTGGATGGACGAATATAAGGACATTGTTTATGCAACATCCAGAGACCTCAACGGCCAAGTCCCCGTGTTCAATGAAGCGGAGTTGGCGTCAATTGAGGAACGACGTCAACTGAGACGACGCTTGAAGTGCAAAGACTTCAGTTGGTTCCTGAAGCACATTATGCCAGAGATCAAGATTCCAACACGGGATGCTCGCTTCTTTGGGGAGGTGACAAATCATCAGACAGCAGGATGTTTCTATGTGATGAAAGATGGCTATATCGGTGTCACACCTTTGTGTTTTAGGTTTAGGATTATTCCAGAGAACACGTTTACTATAGATGAATCGGGTCGGATGTTATATGAAAGTGCATGTGTTGGATATGATAAAGGGTCGAGGGTGTTGAAACTGATGGAATGTCCTTGTGTGGCTCGAGGCGTGACTTGGCCGAAATGGGCCATTAACTCAGACAGTCAACTGACCTACACCGATGCCAGCGGAACGTTGTGTGCAACACATGTGACTTCAATGACGTACGTGCATAAGAGAGAACAGGTGGTTCAGTTGATCGATTGTGATGTACATAATCAATTTCAAAAATGGCATTTTATGTATCATTTTGTGTACTGAGCGTAAGTAATAGATGACTCCATTGATCGTCACGTTTGTGTTTTGTTGTTTGCAACATCGTTGTCACTGTAGTGATCCAACAACTTGTCAACAATCAGCTTTATAGAAATGACTGAAGGTTGGTTTGGTTGGTTGGTTTGTTGTTTAGCGCTGCAGTCAGCAATATTCCAGCTGTATGGCGGCTGCTGTAAACAGTTGAGTCTGGACCAGACAATCCAGTGATCACATCATGGGCATCGTTCTACGCAGTTGAGAAACGATGACGTGTCAACCAAGTAGGCGGTCATGACCACCCGATTAACTTAGTCGCCTCTTTCGACAAGGTCAATTCTACCCGTATTATGTGTCATAGGACATACGGTTCCTGCGTAATTCTAATGCTGCAGTTTGGGTGTTTGATGTAAATTCAAGTAATCTTCGCTAGGTGACAGATCGCCCGATGCCAACTTTGTTTTTTCACACACACCTAAACCCCACACCCAACCAAAACTACCAAAACCAACCAAACTAAACAAATGGAACATAGGATTTAATTCACACTCTGTGTTACATTAGGTAACATTCAGCTTATCAGTTTTTATTCAGTGTAAGGTTGTTCCATATCTTACATTGCACGTAACTCGATACACCAGCGAAACAATCTTCTTGACTTCAGTAGCTATCCAGAAACTAAACCATGGGTCGGCGTGTCAGGTAATGTCATGATAGCACGGATCGTTGTCATGACACCCGATTTTGTCCAATGCCGTGGTTCAATATAAAGCTACCCTAGGAGTATTAGTCTGTCTCACAGTTATAATGTTTATACATTAGGCTTTAGCCTACTGTCGCGTTACATAATATATGTTTGCTCATAATGTACTTAAATCATCTTAAAATGCATTTTTGTCTTCTTGTCTGAAATTTCCAGAGAGGAAGCTCAGCCTTTACTTGTCTGTTGATCGTTATGATGACATATTATTTTAAATGATAGTACGATTTAAAAAAAAAAATAGAACTCTAGAACTCTTTGCAAAGCATGTATGAGTAAGCACTAGAATTGAATCCTTGTAGAAAGTACGTAAATATACCTATTGCATGTTCGTTCGTGCAGATTTTCAAACATTGTGGAAATTAAGTTACTTTTAGTCCGTTTAAACAATTTCAGGTTTTGAAGATATTCCACTTTGAACATTTGCCAGTTAGGGTTACCCACCTTTCAATCACTTAAACACATTTTTGAGACCACAGATACATTTCCTTCAACATTTTAGCTCAGGGATTTGTCTGTCGTGATGAGTGTTTCTATCCCCACTTGACATTGCTGAACGGAAGCGACACATGACGTGAAAACCACTTAAAGCCTACCTCTGTATCTTTGATCAAAGGCGAACAACTCGTTCATAGCTAAACGTACATTGATGGTCGAATGCTAAATTCATAATATGCGTGCTAAGAAAGTAATTCGTGTATCATACATTTTTTTTAATAATGTTTAATGAACATCATATAACTAAAGACAAAACCATCTTCATTGTCAGAAGAAATCTTAGGGATGCCAATCCCGACCAACATGTCGCTCCGGTGGCAAACACATGTATGTAAAAATATATGTTTACTTGAAAGAAAACCCAAACCCCTCCGAAACAGCACGGATTTGAATCGAGCTTCTGTGTCTCACTCTAACAAAATGATGAGCTCACTGGTTTCCTTTTAACATTAGCTCATGTAGCTGATTTTGTGAAAGAGAATTTGCTATTTTGACGAATATAGATTTATACCAGTTATATACCTGGATACATGCAGTTCCGCTTCATATAAGTGAACAGTTTGAGCTAATTTCACCTTGGATTCATAAAGTGCACAGTATCTCAGTGCGTTTTTTTTAGCAAAGATTTGTTCAATTTCACAAAGAATAGGAGTGAGTGAGTGAGTTTAGTTTTACGCAACACTCAGCAATATTCCAGCTATATGGCGGCGGTCTGTAAATAAGATTTCGAGTCTGGACCAGACAATCCAGTGATCAACAACACGAGCATCGATCTGCGCAGTTGGGAACCGATGACATGTGTCAACCAAGTCAGCGAGCCTGACCACCCGATCACCTTTTACGACAAGCATGGGTTCCTGAAGATCAATTCTTACCCGGATCTTCATGGGTGCTTTTAGAAAGGGCGTTTATTGAATGATCAGTATTGCTCAGCAACAAATGGCCCAGGGGACAGAATGTTCACGTCGGATTTATGAAATATTACAATATCGATAATGCTGTAGAGAGGGGTTGGTGCTGCTGGCACATTCAGGCTGTTAAATCATAACATTTGCATCATTATGATGCCATAAGGTTATTATATTATAGAATGTACAGGTGAGGTGAAATTGGGTTTAACGTCGTGCTTGAGAATATTTCGCTCATATGACGACGTGCATGCGTGTGTATGTGTATGTGCGGCTGCTTGTACTAGCCCAGACTGAAGCTGGTTCAATAGTGCTAGCCCACTGAGATACCATGCCGCAGTGAAGCATAAATACCCCACTCAGACACATAATACTGACTCCGAGCCGACCAGTCCTTGTTGTACCCATTAATGCCGAGCGCCAGGCAGGACCAACAAGTACCATATTTTAACGTCTTTTGGTATGACGCGGTCGGGGAGCGAACCCTCGACCTTCCGCTCTCCGGGCGGACGCTCTAACCACTACACCACGGAGGCGGTCATAGAATGTACAGACAGACGTTAGGTATTTAGATTTAGATTAGACGTATACACCCATGAAAACTTAAGACTCGCCTGAAGCACTCACTATGTGTTATGTATATACATATGGTTACATAGAAGATGTATTTCTCCACTAACTTGGGGGAACCAACTGCAAATCTTATGCAGATGAACTGCACGAAGATCATGCATCAAATTGCTGAAAATAACGTGCATGTGAAGAGCTGCGGTTTGGTGTAAAATTCTGCTAAGAATTCGTCCATTTTCACTGAGTTTCATCATTTATTGAACTCATGACGTCAATGTTTTCAACTGTTCATATGTAAACAGTGCATTTAAACAGTATGGGAAATCTAGTTCAGAACAGTTGACTGAAGTAAGTGGCTAAACTTTTGATGGGTAATATATCGTAACAAACTTTTAAATTCACACTCAATCATATCTAACTTACACACTTTACACAGCCGCAGTCGTCTTATTACATTATAGTATCGCCCAAGTTCAACTTGTAATCTGGGCATGCCAATACGCAGTTTTGTCATATCGCGACATCATGCTTTAAACACAATTCCGGTTGTGAATTCACTTTGAATGAAGAATAGGAGTCATATCTGCTTCTACATGTGGCGGTGTGTGGTCCTGTGGGTAGAGCTCAGGTCACAATCAGTTGAAGTTAAGGAACGTTGGTCGCGGACAGTCCTCGGATGGGTGACCGTGTTTGGCAGCTTGACTCCAGTGTCAAGGACTGCCCCACAACGAAGCACATGTGACGCATGTGGTCTCACCTTAGGCAAGTGAGTTTGTTCAAAATTGCCTCTGTCCACCCAGCAGTAAAATTGGGTACCTGGTATGATACGGTAGTCTGAATTTGAATCTTGAGCGCCTGACAGGCGACCGTTTGTATTCTCCACATGGAGTGTTCTGTACTCGTTGACCAGGGGTAATATGTCAGCGCTTTGTGCAATGTGCATGGATAAACGCGCAATATAAATGGACTATTATTATTATTATTATTATTACATTGCAAGCTAGATTGCCATTCCTGAGTTAAGATATCAATAACACGTTGCTTAAACTCTGACAAAAATACTTCAAACACTGCCAACACCTTTAAATACCCAAACGTAACAAAACCCGTACCTAAATAAAACTTGCTTAACCGAAGAGGTCATGTATGGCTTCAACATTATCCAAGGAGTACAACATTCCATATACAACACACTTGATATGGATGTGCAACTTCTTTATTATTTACACACGACGTTTCTGGGCTAATAATTGCCCCTTCATCAGGTGAATAGTTACAGAGGTATATATAGTATCCCAACACGAGCTGAATTCGACGTTCTGGTGATTTCGACGATTGCATTGCTCGCGCTATATCGGGTGAGTACGTGTGCGATGGGTGTGCACAAACAGTTTCACTGGTAGGGCGGGTGCCCAGTCGCTGTCGTGAGAAGTGTTATTGACAATGGAAATCGGGAAGTAAAGTTATATAAAAAGCAAACAAACATCAATATTATTTACCTGAGATCGTTAATACCACTTTAGATGCAAAATCAGTTGCCTTTATAACAAAACATAGCAAGTGAAAATTCAGTAAGATCAGTCGTCTGCTGGTGACAGGCAGTATATAAATAGGAAGCCACGTGATCACAACACTCCCTCGCAGTGTGGAGCAAAAAGTATGGCTCATCGTCGAAAACCCATACAAAATACCCGGATGTTACGAACGGCAACAGTTTCGCCGATACGATGTCATCAACGCCATTTTTGTAGGAAACACTTGCTATTTTTGTGTGAAATAGATGAATATATCCTCTATCAGTCGAGGTTAGTAAAATAAAAACTTTAAATGATATTACAGATAAAAATTACGTTTTTGTCTTACATCGTCGAAAACCCCTGACACCGGGATATGTACAGGATGCCACAGACTTGATTGAGCTTCCTTGGAGCTGGTCGCCTAAATCGTCGCTGCATCCACGGGGACAATCAACATCCGGCCCTGGCCCTTACTCCTCACTCCTACCTCAACCCTGATCAAAGAATTTCTATCGATCCCTAGCCCCCGGCTTCCCGGTTTCCCGCCCCACCTAACCGGCAAGTCTCGCTTGTCTTTCTTGTAAATACTCAACCACCCAAATCAATTTGTATGTACCAACCATTCATCATCCATTTTTTTGTAAATATTTCATGTTTATCATCTCATCATTGTATGTATATATTGTTTCACATTGTATTTATTGTATGTTTATCTCCCGAAGAATCCCAACCATCAAACAAAACATAAACCTGTTCTACAAATGCATCAATTTCTGCGGCAGAGGGTTCAAGGTAACATTTCTCGACCAAACATCACTTACAAACACACACAAACACACACTTATAGACGGAAACGCAATCAAATGGGAAGTTCCACGGTGGCAGACACAAACACAAAGCGTCATACACATCGACAACAAAGAAACACAATCAGACATCCAAGAATACATACACTTCGCTAACACTATCCCCACTCAACCCAAAACCATCGACTTCAAAACAATCAACACAAAGCAGCCAACACCAAACAAGCCAAACACTCAGATCACCTTTCTCACATTTAAATCCACCACACTAATCAATTACATAACATTTGGAGCCCTCAATTACAAAGTACACCCCATGCGCAACAAAACCCAACCAATGCAAAAACTGCTTCGCATACAATCACACCACACACCTTCAAAAACCTTCCACTATGCCCCAGGTGTGGGTCGGACATGCATGACATTACAGAATGCACCCACGCTACATACTGCATGCACTGCGAATTACATGGACACTCTGCAAACCAAAACACATGCCCCATCAAACAGACACAAATACTTAAACTTAACAAGCACCTCAAACACACCGACCTACAACCTCATCAGCAACCACTCCCTCCTCTCACTCTCATCCTCCAACCTCACCAACACCTCATATTCCACAAACACCTCCATCTCCTCCTACCCCCAACCCCCCACTAAACCGCAAATCCACGCCCTCCCCACCCCACTCCCCACCCCTCACCCCTCCAGTTCAACCAAGCAACTCCCCAAACAACCCAACCCACCCCCATTTCGGCCTAAATCAAACAAACCTAAGTCCCATACCAAGCCCAAACTCCCGCCCCCAAACCCCAGCCCACCAAACAACCACTCCTACCCACCCCAAGCCCCCTTACCCATCCCACCCAAACCTACCCGCCCCAAAACAGCACCACCACCTCCTAAACCCTCCAAACAGCCCCCAACTCTCCTTCACTGCATCCCTCAAACCCCGCTCATTAAAAACAAAGAAAACCACCACACCCGCTGCTCAAATCTACCTCACACCAACCCCTCAAAAACTCAACCACAATCTCAACCTAATCATCGAATTCATATAATAATATAATCATAAATGCATATTTATAATGCGCCCCTTCCACACCCTAAGGCATGCTCAAAGCGCTACAGAATATTTACACTGGAGTGTTTTCAGATGAAGTTATACATAATATACTGAGAAAAGGTGGGTTTTAAGTCTGGACTTAAAAATGTCAATTGTGCCAGAGCTTTTAAGGGCACATGGGAGAGAGTTCCAAAGTACAGGTGCAGAGTAAGAGAATGATCGGTGTCCAAAGGATTTCAGTTTGTAGGATGGGATGACCAGTCGGTTTTTATGTGTTTGAGCGCAAGTTGCGTGCGGGGACATATGGATGTAGGAGTTCAGACAAGTAGGAGGGAGCCAAACCATGGAGGCACTTGTATGTCAGACAGAGGATCTTAAAGTCAATTCTGGCCCTAACTGGTAGCCAATGCAGTTCTCTTAACACCGGTGTTATATGGGAACGTTTAGAAGTCTTGCTGATGATGCGGGCGGAAGTGTTTTGGATCTTCTGAAGCTTATCAAGGAGTTTAGAACTGACGCCTGAAAGGATGCTGTTACAGTAGTCAAGCCTAGATGTAACAAGAGCTCGAACAAGGGCTTGAGTTGCAGCAGTTGTCAGGTATTGCCGAATGTTACCAATGGATCTTAGGTGAAAGTAGCAGGTCCTGCTCAGACGGTTAACATGAGCATCAAGAGTCAAGGAAGAGTAGATGTGGACACACAAATCCTTAACAACATCGGAGAATCTGACGTCAGCGGCTGCGACTGTAAAGACGTCGGTTTTGACCTTGCTAAATTGTTGCTTTGTACCAATGAGAACTGCTTCTGTTTTTGTGTCATTAAGTTTAAGCATGTTTCCTGTCATTCAGCACTTGATGTCCTGCGTACATTCAGCGATGCACTGAAGAGACGTGGAGAGATCTTACAGATGAAATGCTTTCAGGAGCTGGGTGTCAGAAGCGCAGGCTTGACGAGAAACTGTGTGGTCTGTAGTAATCCTTCCGACATATCCGGTATACAACACAAACAGGACTGGACCAAGGACTGATCCCTGTGGCACCCCCACATGTGATTACAGTGCCTTTTGATCTCTCAGTGCCAACGACAACAGAATGCTGTCGGTCAGATAGATAAGACGTCACCCCTTGAAGGGCATGACCTTCAAGTCCGTACTGTTGTGTGAGCCTGGACAAGAGTCTAAGGTGATCGATTGTGTCGAAGGCTGCAGAGAGGTCCAACAACACTAGAGCAACAATCCTACCATCATCGACACAACGAAGCTCATTCGTCACTTGCAGTAAGGCAGTCTGACTGGAATTCATCAAGCAGAAGATGTTTAGAGAGATGGTCTTTGAGTCTGACATGCACAGACTTCTCAATTATCTTGGAAATGAAGGATAAATTTGAGACAGGTCGAAAGTTCTGAAGATTCTGAGAGTCAAGATCAGGTTTCTTTAGCAGAGGTTTGACTACAGCATGCTTGAATCTGTTTGGAAATACACTACTCTCCAAACTTGAGTTGACAATTTTGGTAATGCTTGGCAGCAACAAGTCAAGATATTGAAACAGAAGTTTAGTTGGTATGGGGTCGGAGTCGCAGGTGGTAGGCTTTGAAGAGCGGATAATTGATTCAATGTCCTTGTCAGCAGCAGTACTCATGCAAAACCCCACAGCCAAAAGACTACACAACATTGCACACAAAAACAAAATTTACCATAAAAGTCTAGCCAGCCTCCTCATTGCTATCAAATCTCTCTCATAATCTAACAACCACTAAGCTACTCTAGCATCCATCTATTCTCTCAAAATGTCTGGCTTTTTATAAACTTCTATTCCAAATTACTGCAGTCATGGCTCTGATACAATCGAACTGTAACGGCCTCCGGGTCAACGGGCATGAGCTTAAGGTACTCATCGCCCAAAACAAAATTTCCCCCCAGCTAATAGTTCTACAAGAAACCAAATTATCCTCCAAATCCGCCTTCAAAATCCCAGGCTACCATTCTTCCGGAAAGACAGACCTGCCGGGGGCCTGGGTATATTCACATAAAAAAAACTAAGCTATTCCGAAATCGATATTCCAACCACCAATCTAGAAGTCCTGGCTATCAAAACAACAATAAATAATAAAGAATTAACCTTCATTAACGCCTACAGACGGCCATCCATTATAATAAATTCTCAAGATTTAGACAACATGTCAAAATTCTAACCAAATCTTGTATATGGGAGGCCCACTGCCCCATCAAAATATCCATACCCACACTCCTCCCACCACAACCACAAAACAACCCAAACACTAACACCAACCAGCTCCACCTACTACCCACTACACTTCCAAAACACCACTAAAAATACACCCCCATACACGCCTAAACCACCCCACACTCACCTACCTATTAACAAAATCATAAACATCCATGAACTCAAATCTGCACTCAAACACAAAAACACAGCCTCAGGCCCTGGCCCAGATAAAATCACATACACTATACTCAACAAACTCCCATCAAACATGCTCAACCTCACACTTACACTATTCAACCAAATCTGGACAACAGGTAACATACCCTCTTCTTGGAAAACAGCCAAGGTGGTGCCAATCCTAAAGCCAGGGAAACCCATTAACTCCCCAGATTCATTTCGGCCTGTTTCCCTCACTGCCCACTTATACAAACCTCTAGAGTCTATAGTAAATAATAGACTAAAACACGAAATTCTAACCCATAATTTAATCAAACAGGACCAGAGCGGCTTCACTCCAAATTGACAAACTTTAGACCATAGTTTACATTTGGAGCAAAATATAAAAGTAGCGCAGGCACAAAAGCAATACACGCTGGCCATTTTCATCGACTTTAGTAAAGCTTTTGACATGGTTTGGCACAACGGCCTCATCCAAAAACTCCAAAAAAATGCCATACACGGGTGTATTCTAAATTTCATTCATGATTTCTTAAACAACAGACAAATAATCGTCAAATCTCACAACACCATCTCGGACCCTGATCCCCTAGAAATTGGAACTCCCCAGGGGAGCATACTATCCCCAACATTATTCAACTTTATGATAAATGACATATTTCCTGACAAGTGGCCAGAAATTTCTACTGCTAAATTTGCGGACGACATTTCGTTTTGGACATCCTCTACTTCAGTAAAACAAGCCACAATCAAACCTCAAAGAATGCTAAATTATATCCGAAACTGGGCCCAAAATTGGGGGTTCCATATTAATTAAACAAAAACCCGTGGGCATCTTATTAAAAAAACAAGTAGGCAAAATTATACACCCAAACTTAACCTTAACAACCAAGAAATCAAGTTCGAAAAAGAAGCAAAATTCCTAGGTGTAACTTTTGACCAACATCTTACATGGACACCCCACATTAATAACTTTGTCAACTCCTGTCAAAAAGATTTAAATCTCATGAGAGCTATCAGTGGTACTAACTGGGGTGCCGACAAACTAACACTTATTAATATATACAAATCACTTATACAGTCAAAACTGGACTACGCCACCCCGGTCCTCCACTCCCTGTCTCCATCCAACCTTCAAAAACTTAATTCCATACAATATAAAGCCCTTAAACAAGCCCTAGGCACTAGGACTGGCACCTCCCATAACACTCGTCTACTACTCACAGGCATCCCTTCAATCAGAACACGAATAGATTAAACTGCACTCAATTACTGAGCTGGGGCCCAACACAACCCGATTAATAAATTACTCACAACCAACTACACTAACACCAACAAATCTACCATTAAAAAATTTAAAAACAACCCAAACAAAGCCCCTCTACTCACTCACCTCAACAGTCTGTTCCATGCACAACAGCTAAACAACATCCAGCACACGCACCCCATAACAAGCTACATCCACGACAAACCACCACCTACTAAAGACACCTTCCTTGCATCCACACTCCAAAATCTCCCTAAACACACTGACATCCACACCAAAACAAACCTCATTCAAACCATTAATAACACAAACTACCCCCTACACACCCACATATATACAGATGCATCTCTCGGCAAACACCCCCCTAACAACAAACCTCCACTATACAAACCACACCAACATAAATACAGCAGAATTAACAGCCATTTTAACTGCACTGCACTTAATCCCCTCCCTCAAACCTACCAACTTCCTATTACTAACCGACTCCTTCACTGCTATCAAACAACTCCAAAACATGCATTCAAAAACACGTAACGACTTAATACACAACATCATCCTCCAGATCCACTCCCTAAAACACTTAAATAAAAACATCACACTAATGTGGATCCCTGGACACACTCACAATTAAAGTAATATCACAGCTGGTGCAGCAGCCAAAATAGCCACCACATATACTTCCCAACCCATCAACTTCCACACATCCAAAACAGAAATTAAACAACTCATTAAATCACACACACTCAATCAAAACTATCAACATAACATCAACATAAACAAATCCACCTGGGTCAAATCCATCATAACAAAACCTATAAGCAAAACACCCACCTTCTGAGACACCAAACACACAGATATACTTATTACGAGACTAATTGCTGGCATCACCAACCTAAACCACACACTACATAAACAAAACATACACCCATATGGACTATGCACACACTGCAAACTACCCGAAACAATTGAACATATATTCACACACTGCCACCTACAACAAACAAACATCACTCAGCTACAACTCCATACCTAGCAAATTCCACAACAACATTCATCTCTTACTCAACCCATACAACCCACACAACATATTCAAAGCCATATCTACTTTCATCTCAAATTCCAACTTAATCAACAATTCTACAATGACTTAAATAAATCTATCACCTCTCCCCTAACCATGTAGACATGGGATCCAAATTGCCTACACTACACCTAAGCCAAACCGCTCTCCGTCGCCACCTAACTAAACCATAGCCATTACATAATAGCCCAGTCCATAGCGTTAACAGCCTACCCCCAGCCTACCGCTACTTCACCCCAGCACAAACACCTCTCCCCATCACCCCCAATAAACTACACCCATTTCTCTCTCACACACACACACATCTCGCCAAGCCACCACCACCCATCCCCGTTTATACCCAACTACTAGCTTTTATCATGATATCATACCAACCGTACAACTTCACCCCACCCCTCCTCTCCAGTCTTAACCCCTTTTTCTTTCTATATCAGGTCCCTTATCATTACCGGTACAGCTAAACTGTACAAACATATTTAGGCCCAACTACGCTTTACCACCCTGCCATATATCTCATCCCCCCTCCCCCCCTTCACCTCCAGCCCAACCTTTTTCCCTTTCTCTTAATAATTTTGGCTTTTATTTTATTTTTCCATCATGTTTTAAGCGCTTTTATTATAAATTCAGGTAAGTTTAAAGCCCCTACACTTATATTTTTTTTCGGTAAGTTGGTTTATCCCCTATTACTATATTATTATTTCATTTACTTAAGACCCCACCCGACCGCCTCCGTGGTGTAGTGGTTAGAGCGTCCGCCCGGAGAGCGGAAGGTCGAGGGTTCGATCCCCGACCGCGTCATACCAAAAGACGTTAAAATATGGTACTTGTTGGTCCCTGCCTGGCGCTCGGCATTAATGGGTACAACAAGGTCGGCTCGGAGTCAGTATAATATGTCTGAGTGGGGTATTCATGCTTCACTGCGGCATGGTATCTCAGTGGGCTAGCACTATAAAACCAGCTTAAGTCTGGGCTAGTACAAGCAGCCGCACATACACATACACACGCATGCACGTCGTCATATGAGCGAAATATTCTCAAGCACGACGTTAAACTCAATTTCACCTCACCTCACCTAAAACCCCACCTACCCCGTCGACGATATTGGCTTCGCTAAAAGCCGACGTTAAACTGTAAATTTCGTTCATTCACTGTCATTCACCTGATGAAGGGGCAAGTATTAGCCCAGAAACGTCGTGTATAAATAATAAAGAAGTTGCACATCCATATCAAGTGTGTTGTATTACCCTACAACTTCTAAATGCCTATCAAACATCTGAACATTCCATATGCTTTTCGTGGATACCTATAACTAGGCACAAGAGTAACTCTAAGCCAAAATTTAACAAACCTCGGCGAGGAAGCTAAATAAATTGGGAATCTGCCACAATCGCCCATAGCTTGCATATTCGGATCCCTTTTACTAATGTTAAGAAACTGTTTACACTCCAGACGCTGAAAGCCCCACAACTTGGAACCAGATAAAAGTATTGGCATAATCTGAGAATTAAATGCTGTAAAGAAAACCTTGTAGGAAAATTGCCCATAGAAATACATCGTTCTTAAAACTTCAGATAAGGCTTTCTTAATAGCAACAAAATTGCAACTCTGTGAAAAACGTAATTGACTTGTAAGAAACTTTCAAAA